AAGGCACAAGGCTGGGAAAAAATAAAACTTACAAGGATCTCTGAGAACAGGTGTCGTTGCTGAATACGCTAAACTGGGAACAGTTCTGCGACGATTTATTGTCCGTGTAGTTTTGCTAAAACATACAACCGCAAGAAGCGAATGCCAACAGTAAAAACCCACTGACAGGGTTTTTGACAGCTTCAACTTTTTAAGATTTTCTACAGGCAAGTTGAGAGGCGACTTGAGTTTCTCGTATATGTCGATAGGAACAATTATTTTAACAAATTTTTGCGATGGAACTCCAAGAGGGCAACAATTTTTTATGTCCCCGTACTAAGCATCAATTTAAGCCAACAAAAAGACGGCTCGAAGGAATTGCAAACTGACTTCAACCTAATTTCAAGAATATAGACCAGGGCACAACAAGGATTCTGACAATGAACCATTTGGAGCATTACTCCCAATAAAATTCAGGCATGACTTTATGAATATGAATTTAAAGAATTTCAAGCGCACAAAAATATCGCTTGCAAAACCTTTTAACGCAGCTCAGCATGTGGGCTGGGGCAAAATGAACCAAGCTAGGCTCAGTTTTTATAATACCTTCAAATCTCATAAGTTGTCAGCTTTTGAGTGCAATCTAGCTTAAGCATATATTACTGACTTTTATCCTTTTGCCTCACGCATCGATATGTGCTGTACAAACCCCAGCATCCGAAACAGGAGGCTGTCAACGATGTTTTTGAATTTTTTTACGCAAGTACATAAGTTTAAAATTTCAGTTTCCTAGCTCTCGTAGTTTAATTCAGTCCAAAGCACACATACGTACAACATGTAGTTGAACGCACACGCACAAACAAACAAAAATGGCAAAACCGTAGTGCGCTGTTTTATAAAAAAACGCATAAATGGAAGGGGGTTTGACAGTAAGAGGGAAGTTTAAAACAGGTACTTACCGACTGTGACTGGCTGAAGTCTGTAGAGCAGTTCAGGGCTGATGAAGGTGGTAAAACTTTCACAAAAAGTGAAATGAATTCAATAAACGATGCGTGGATTTCCTGTGATGCGAACTTCACACGAAACCTCGTCATCTGTGCCCCACCCTGCAAAAGGACTTATTTGAGCCAGCGCAACCCATTCCAATTCAGAAACTGCCCGAGTGACCAGAACAA